CCGAGTAGAGCGAATAGAAGGAAAACCACCTCTAAACCCAAAATGACTTACAACCCTTCTGGAAGCGTGGAGCCTTACGGCCTTGCCGATACGAATGACTTCAATGCCCCTTTTGACACCCTGGGTATCCCAGGGTCTCTAAGAAAGGAAACCTATATTGCGGCATTCATAGCGTGTTGGATTTGCAAGTTCCTTTTGCCAAGCAAAAAAGTCGATCGTATTCGCTCAATTGTCTTCAAGGTTGCATGCTTAATGGCTACAGGGAAAAGATTTTGTCTTGCGATTTCCGTCCTTGCGAGCATATATCATGGGTTGAGGGAGATCGTCCACGCCCCTAACCTTGGAGAGTGCGGGGTAACTTTTTCAATTCATTACGTCTATGCTTGGATTGGTCAATACTTCGATGTCTATTACGAAAATCATCAAGTGAGTAGCCACCACGCGCGCATGACAAGATTTAGTGGTGAGAAAATGGCAATATTTTATGGCCAATTGGAAGCTGAGGAAATCTTCAAAGAAGTGAACCCTTTGATGCTTCCTAAATTGTGCTGGACTGAGAATGAAGAAAAGGCGTTGATCGATGACGGATCCTTATCATCAAGACTCACGAGCTACTTCATTAGTCAACGCTCTTGCCATTTAACTCTATGTAAGGACAATACTTTCATTATTGAAAAATATAATCCTTGCAGGTTCAGCAGACAATTCGGCATCTGTCAGGATATCCCCAACAACTCGAAAGAGATCACTCACACGTATACTTTGGGTGAGGCTATTTAACTATGGGATTCCTCAATTCGCACGCAGACACAGTTTCGGATGACTATACCCGCGCACAGAAAGTATCCATTGATAACAAAATATTATGACGCCTGGTGGTCGACTCGGTCAAATAGTGTCTCTTCAACTTCCTTTAAATTCACCGTTAAGATCCCTCAGCAATCATCGAAAAAGGGTAAGACTACCTCCGCTAACGAGTCAGGGCATCATAATGGAGCTATAGAGATTGTAACGGATCTTGCCTCATCCACCTTGCGAAAGAACAAAATTACTAACAGTCCCTCGAGAAATATTGCCACAAAAAATAAGTCTTTCAAGGACTCTCGACAGGCCATTAAAAAGGCGCAACCAGTGGTTCCAGCGAAGAGGACGCCGCCCAAAGCTTCAAAATCCTTATCGGCAACTCGCACTGAAGAAGATGTCGAAATTGAAACGGTGGACGATCGTGACTCTATCGAGGCTATAGAAAAGAAAGGAACTCAAGTTCAGGACATCGGATCTACCCAAGGAGGGGTCCATTCATTGGCGAGCGGTAGCAGTAGTCAAGATCGTCACTGGAACCGATCGAAGAAGAGGACATCTTCTGATTTGGAGGAGATTTCCTTTACACCACCGTCGGTTGAAGTGTCGCCACTTAAGGTAATCATCTCTCCATCTTTTTTCCTTTTTTTTTGTAATAATTTTCTTTTGGCTGTAACCTTTTTCTTTTCAGCCCCCGTTTCTTGAATCCCGTAAAAAAGGTGTTGGTAATAATTCATCACCCGAACTCGAAACTGATGATATAATCTCAAACAACAAAAGTAACGAAGTAGCTATCAGTACTCCAAGACAATTTGCCCCCAGTGGAAATACCTCGCCAATGCATAAGAAGGAGCTGACTAGTTCACACGAAACCCGAAAAAGACCTAAGGTAGTACTGGTCTCAGAATTTCATGGCCAAAAGTTGATCCAGGCACATCGAAGAAAGTACTTGCAGAGTTTGTGGACGGATTTTCGCGGACAGATTCTTGACACTCCAATTGAGCAGATCTCTTCTTTAAAAGAGTGTGCAGAGGAAATCATTGCAGAAATCATAAGAATGGATCCCACCAACGGTCTCCCTTTAAAAGACCACTTGATGGAATTGTTTGCCAAGGCGGAGGCTTATGATGTTCTGGCATCTTCATCGTGGGAGAGGATGAGCAAAGAAACACATGCAGAACTCCTTTCCAAAACGACCGTCCAACTGAAGGGAGTTAAGGCAAAGGGAGAAGAACTAACTTGTCATTTGCAAAGTCTTGAAGAAAAGTTGCAGTCCATTGAAGACAGGAAAAAGGTTCTGCAACAGGAACTCATCAATTTGGAGAAGCAAAGCCTGGAAATCAGCTCAACTATCGATCAAAAGCATGAGACCTTCAAAGAGATCCAGGCCGAAATAATCCAAGCGCATGATGAGTTATCTTCCATTGAAAATACTAGCATCTTGACTGATGACGCTGTGAAGGAACTTGAGGACATGAAATCTGCACTTGAATCATATAAAATAGCTGTAGTGGAATACAAATTTGATATCTAGTCTTTTCACCATGTTCTTCTTGTTTCCTGAATGCTTTTGTCATTCATCATTTTTTTATGTAATGAGTTTTTTTTCAATAATAAAACACTTTTCATTTCTTATCTCTTATTTTTTTTTAAAAGAGAAAAGAACTCAAATGGAGCATTTTATTTATTTTTATTTTTTATTGGAAAGAGAAAATTCTCTTTCCCTTTTTTATTATTTTTTTTTGCAAGGGACAGAGATTTGATTTAGAGTGGTGTAACTGAACTTAGAAGTTGCCCTCCAAACTGCCTACGTTTCCCAACAAGGGAATCAAGTCACACGTAGTTCCTGCCGTTCACATTTTAACCTCATGCGGGTCAGAAGTATCTATTTGTTTACCACCTTAGACTTGGTGGAGTGTTTCAGCAGTTTAACCACATACTACACTATTGGTGGTCGCCATCCACAGTTTTAGCTCATGCGGGCCAGGAGCCTTGCGCGGTTCCGATTACGCATAGTATCTTTTTAGGTACTTGCCATTGATGGGGCCAACCCTTAACCCGTCTTCAGCAACCAACTTGTATGAGCCATTTGTATACACTTCTCGAACAACATAGGGCCCATCCCACTTAGAAGTAAACTTTCTTTGACCGCCATGAGTGAGAATGATCGGTCTTCGAACGGCGAGTACTAAATCTCCAATCTGGAAAGAGCGTGGCCGGACATGTTTATTAAATGCTTTTGAAAGGCGGGCTTGATAACATTCAATCCGTTGCTGGGTTTCCAATCTCTTTCCATCGAGTGCTTCTAACTCCTCAAGGCGAAGACGGACATTATCTTCTCCACTGAGCCCTTCTTGAATCGCAATTTTTAGCGAAGGTATTTGACACTCAAGTGGAAGAACAGCTTCAACACCATAAACAAGCGCGTATGGGGTCGCTTGCGTGGGAGTTCGAAAAGTAGTTCGGTATGCCCAAAGTGCTTCTCCAATTCGAAGATGCCAATCCCTTCTCGATTTATTCACGACTTTCTTCAACAGATTACATAAGGTCTTGTTGAATGCTTCAGCGAGTCCATTTGCAGCAGCGTAGTACATGGACGAATTGTATTATTTGAAATGAAACTTCTCGCAAAGTTTGTTCATTGCTATATTGCAAAAAAGCTTACCATTATCGGTAATGATATAACGCGGGACTCCATACCGATAAATGATGTGCAAGCGAATGAAATCCACTACATTCTCCTTTTTGACTTCTCTTAGAGGAATCGCTTCAGCCCACTTTGAAAAGTAATCCGTCGCCGCCAAAATAAAAACATGTCCGCCAGAAGACTTTGGAAGTGGTCCAACTATATCCAAACCCCAAGCATCGAACGGCCAAGAAGCCACAGTTGGGTGCAATGGTTCAGGAGGCTGATGGATGAAATTGCCATGAAATTGACATACTTGACATCTTCTAGCAAAGTCAATGCAATCCTTTACCATTGTTGGCCAGTAGTATCCCATTCTTTTAATACGAAAGTGTAATTTTGGGCCAGACTGGTGAGCACCGCATATCCCAGAGTGAGCCTCCTCCATTGCTTGTATGGCCTCATTTTCTCCAAGACATTTTAGAAATACCCCATCGAATGACCTTCGGTAAAGCGTCCCTTTGTAGTAAATGAAACGTGGTGCTCGACGACGTATATCAACCCTTTTCTTAGGATCTTCTGGTAACTTTCCATGATTAAGATAATCAATGATGAGGTGTCGCCAATCCTCCTTTTCGATCTCATGGACAAAAATATGATAAGTATTTTCTTCTTCACTAGCATTACCTTCATCAAACATCGGAGGTATGACCCAATTTTGACATATTGAAATCTGATTTCGATGAGAAGGGAGAGTGATCATGGACGCCACCCTTGCCAAAGAATCAGCTTGTTGGTTGAAATTTCTAGGGATATGTTCTATAGTGACATTACCTAAATATCCCATGAGTTGCCTTGCATACTTGTAATATGGGATCAATTCAGGTTTCTTGACATCATAAACACCAAGGAGTTGATTTACCACCAATTTTGAATCACCGTAAACTCTAAGATGCAACTGCTTCATGTCTACAGCCGTTTCAAGACCGAGAATCAACGCCTGATATTCAGCCACATTGTTGGAACACCGGCGTGTTAAAGTGAAAGAGTATGGCAATATATCTGCTTCAAGAGTATAAAAGACAACTCCCGCACCAGCTCCATCACGGTGGGCAGCTCCATCGAAATACATTGATCACGGCAATTCGACCATAAACACTTCTTCATCGGGAAGTTCATCAGTCAACTCCCACTCGGCAGGTAGGGGATGATCGGCTAAAAAGTCTGCCAATATTTGTCCTTTGACAGGCTTCGCAGGTACGTAAATAATTTCAAATTGTTGAAACTGGAGGTACCATCTCGCGAGCCGATCAGATAGTACAGGTTTTGCCATGACATATTTAATGGGATTGGACTTAGAAATGAGACGAATAGTATGTGCATGAAAATAATGCTTCAACTTCTGAATGGCAAATATAAGTGCCAAACACAATTTCTTGATGGGTGCGTAGTTCAACTCATTAGATGTCATCATCCGGCTCAAGTAATACAGCGCATTCTCCTTACTTTCATCGTTTTCTTGAGCAAGTAAGGACCCAACCGACCGTTCTTGAGCGGAAATATAGAGAATTAATTATTTTCCTGGAATGGGCGCAGCCAGCACTGGGGGATTCATGAGATACGCCTTGATACTTGTAAAAGCATTCCTACACGATTCATCCCACTCGAAGGGTAGCCCTTTCTTCATCAGTCTACTAAAGGGTTGGCATCGCCCGGCCAAATTAGAGATAAACCTCCAGATATATGCCAACTTCCCTTGAAGGCTCTTCAATTCATAAATATTTCGCGATTCAGGCATGTTCACAATGGCATCAATTTTAGATCGATCGACTTCTATTCCCCGTTGATGAACGATGAAACCAAGAAATTTGCCAGAAGTGACTCCGAATGCGCACTTCAAAGGATTCATCTTTAATTGGTATCTCCGAAGGCGTTGGAAAACTCTTCGAAGGTCTTGAATATGATCCCCTCGCTTCTTTGATTTCACCACAAGGTCATCAACGTAGCACTCCACATTTCTATGGAGCATATCATCAAATATTCTTTGCATTGCCCTTTGATATGTCGTTCCAGTATTTTTCAAGCCAAACGGCATTACTTTATAGCAATAAATTCCCTTGGGGGTGCGGAAGGCAGTTAGCTCCTCATCCTCGGGCGCCATACGTATTTGATTGTAGCCAGACGATCCATCGAGAAAAGATAGTGCTTCATGCCCGGTTGTAGCATCTACCGTCAATTCTGTGATGGGGAGAGGAAAATCGTCTTTGGGGCAAGCCTCGTTTAAGTCTCGAAAGTCAACACAAACTCGAATTTGCCCATTCTTCTTCCTTACAGGGACGATGCTTGAAATCCATGTTGGATATTTTACTTTTCGTATGAATCCGGTTTCAATCAATCGATTTATCTCATTTTCTATTAGAGGAATCAATTCGGGCCGAAAACGCCTTTGCGTTTGCTTGACAGGTTTTGTTCCTCGCTTGACGGACAAATTATGAACGGCGACCCTTGGATCCAAACCAGGTATTTCTGAGTAATTCCAGGTAAAGACATCCCTGAACTCGAGCAGCAAATCAACATACTCTTTTTCTTCTTCAGGAGTCATACAAGAGCTTATGTAAATTGGGCGAGAATCGTCGCTGGTGCCAAGGTTAATCTCTTTTAGCTCATCGACCGTATTTTTTACCCCTTGTTCAAGTTCAGCGGGAGCGTCATCTGCATCTTCTTCTTCTTCTTCAAGATCACTGATCGTAATATGGTGACAGGAAACCGTACTTTCTTGACCCTGTTCTTCAAAAATGGTTTCAATTCTTACATTGAATAAGTCTCCATAGTGCATGAAGAAATTGGAGACTCGCTTTCTTGGTCTGTTCTTCTTTATTGGGGTAAGACTTTCTTCCCTGATAACTTGGTACTCTTGTTTCTTACTGCCTAATCTCTCATAGACGGGCGACTTCAGATTTTTCGGCTGCGGGCCAAGTCTGTCAAACACAGAAGTACGTTTTGACTTATTTCCCAATCGGTCGAACACAGATCTCTTTTGGCTTGTGACCTCCATTTCTTCGTTCACATAGTTACAACTCGCTCTTTTGATCATTATACGAACAGGAGAGGGCGGTTGATAACCAAGACCCATCGATGAACTTTCAACATTATAGCCCCTTTCTTTCAACATTTTCTGCGTAGGTATCAATCCGTGAGTTCTCTCGCCAGTCACTTCAGGAGGGAGTTTGCCCAATGTATTCTTCTCATTTGGGTTATAACCCGCCTTAGCAAGAAGTCTATAGGCGTTTGGATCAAAACCTTTTTGAATCCGATTAGTTGATAGCGAGTAATGTTCCACTGCCGGTTCTTCTTTGGGACGAACAAACCCTTGCAAGCTCACATTTTCAATTTTAACAGGCTCTATCTTGGTGAGCGGAACATTTAATGTGTCAGTTCTGATAAAAGAAGACTGACCTTCTTCTCTCTTTGATCTTGGAGTATACCGCAAAATGGGTACTTTGGAATCTTGACTTTCTTCCCTTACCGATTCCTTTCTTTTTGCTTCTTTGTGAAGATAAAATTTGGCATCGGCAAAGTGAGTTTTGGCTTCCGTGAAATGTTTGTCATCGACAGTAACTTTCTTAACAATACCGTATCGACAATATTTGAAACATTGATGCAGAGTAGATGGTATAATTTCATTCTCGTGAATCCAGGGCCTTCCCAAAAGCATGTTATAAGAGGTTTTGGCTTCAATGATATGAAATAACGCACTTGAAGACAACTCGCCAATGAGCAATTCAAGCCTTATGAGACCAATTGCTCTTTGCCCCCTTGATTAAATCCTTGGATCATGAGGCGGCTCTGGAAGAGTTCATCACTTGAGATTCCTAACTCTTTCATAGCACGTACGGACATGATATTGACAGCAGATCCCCCATCAATGAGTACCCGACTCATCTTTTGTTCTCGAACATATGCACTAACAAACAAAGGTCGATTGTGGGTCTTGAACTCAACAGTTAAATCATCATCATCAAAAATGATGGTCGTTGCACAATCCACCGGTGGTTTATCATCGACTTTGAGTTTTTTCTCAAATTCAATGCCAATTTGTGTGACTTGAGGATTTTCAGCTTTGACGACATTACAAGAAGTGAAATCATCGGTATCGTCACTTAAATACCCCTTGGGTATAAATTCTCTCAGTGTCACGGGTTGCCGAACCTCTTGAAGGCGCTGAAAATCTGAAGGAATTGGTTTTATGGCCACTCTCTTTTGTTTCTTTGTTGCATTTTGTCGTTTCATCGTTACTTTTGGCTTTGTCGAATGAATGCTTTTCGAAAAGATGTACTTCTTTATTCTTGGCTTGCAAATCTTCTTCCGAGTGACTAAAGTCCATCCTTCATTGTCATTTTCAATAACATCTTCAATCGAGGATTTTTCAAGCTTCTTGGACAAAGCGCTGCTTGTTGTGGATAAAACTTCTATCGGACAACACACAGACCCAAACATTATTGTTGTTTGATTTGCCGATACTTTATCCTCCTCAAGAAGGATTTTTCCTTGGCGGGCTAATTCCATAATTTTGTCCTTAAAGACAAAGCATTTAGTGAGAGGATGACCAATCAAATGGTGATAACAGCAATAATTCGGATCATTAACTTGACCGGCTTCCTCCGGACGCTTCATGTCGGGAAGTTCAAGGAGCTTCTCCTTGAAAAGATCATCAAACATTCCTTGTAAGTCGGACTCAAGGAAAGGGTACTCCCTTTCTTGCATCTCTTTTAAAGTGGGTCTTCTTACTGATCTATTCTGGGAGGAATCTAATTTCTCAGTGATCTTTTGACTCACTTTGGTAGCAATTTTCATGGGAGCTGTGTTTATTGCCATGGACTCCTTATTATTGAATCTTGAAGGAGGCTTGCCCCCTTTTCTATTTTCTTGTCTTTCATTGTTTTGCCGAGGTGGCTGTACTCGCGAAATTTGAATAGGAAGCCCATCGGTTGCATTGGCCGTGATGCTTAACTCCATGTCATGAGCACGAGTAGCTAATTCTTCAAATGTGTTTGGGCGTATACCCTGCAAAATGTAACTTAGGCTCCAATGCATTCCTCGAATGCACATTTCTATGGCAGAGGGTTCAGACAGCCTATCCTTGCAGTTGAGACTCAGACTTCTCCACCTATCAATGTAGTTGACCACAGGTTCATCCTTCCATTGATGAGTGTTAGTCAACTCCAGCATACTGACGGTTCTTCTAGTGCTGTAGAAGCGATTCAAGAACTCTTGTTCCAACTGTTCCCAACTGTCGATGGACCCCGGAGTGAAATCAGTGTACCAATCAAACGCGTTGCCCTTCAAGGATCGGATGAACTGTTTGATTAGCAGGTCACCATAGGCTCCAGCGTTATTGCAGGTTTCGACAAAATGGGCCACATGTTGTTTTGGACTGCCTTTCCCATCGAACTGTTGAAACTTAGGCTGTTGATATCCAGCAGGCATTGCTAGATTGTCAATTCTAGCAGTGTAAGGTTTGGAATAGGTAAAACTCGATCTTGAACTACTCCCATTTTTGTCCTTGATCACGCCTTCAACAAGTTCCTTCAACTGTTCTACGGGGATAGTTCCCTCGGCGGTCACGTGTACTTCCTTCACCTTGTCTTTACCTTTAGATGAGAGATTTTCACGCTCTTGGTTCTCCTTAGAATTCATATGGCTTCCCTCAGGAGCGTGGTCCTTTTGGGTGAGCAGTTGAGCGATAAGAGCATCTTGGTCCTTGATGTGTTTCATCATGGTTTCCATCATCTTGGACATGTTCGAAACTTGTTCTTCGAGACTCAAAGTATTTGTCATCATGGCAGGCATTACAGCAGAAGAAGCAGCAGAATCTTCAATACAAAATCTTGAATGAAGAGTTTCATGTGAAGAGGCTGATCCAGTGCTTGATGAATCATCGTCATGCTTATAAAATTTGGGTTCGGATCCAAATTCGAGCATGGCAAGAGCCTTCTCAATCGAGGTGAAAATATCATGGACCCCCATCGTGGAGGAATAGCTCATTTGTGATGTTGGCCCGAAGACGGGAGTTGGCGCCGAGGGTTCCATGCTACTTTGGGTGGAGGCTCTCGTCATACTCCTTGTCACGGGGCCAATAATGCGGGTATTGGTGACAACGTGTGCAGCTTCCTGAACAGGCTTAGCATCAGTAGCCTTGGAACGTGCAATCACGATTTTGTTGTTCTTTGGTGCCATTGGTGATAGACGTAGTTGAATATTCGAGGGGAAGAGATGGAAGACAGAGATGGTCCCACCGGGCGTGCCAAAAATTTGTACGCGATAAAAATTTCAAGTCTGTAAAACGACAAGAAAAAGAAATACACGACAAATATGTACTATATAAACTTAGAAAAATATGTAGGTACAATCTCTGAAAGTTCCTCGAACTTATGGAGAGTTTCCTTCGATTCTTCTCCTCGAACACCAATCCAAGGGCTTCGCAGCTTGTTCTTGGATCAACCACCGACTCCTTCAAATCTTGATATGGAAGATTTGAATGATTTGAAAATACTTGAAGGCTCAAGCCTTGATATGCGGAAGACTTGAGGAACTTTGAAACCCAGACCTTCGTAGCTTGAAGCTTCAATACTTGAGTGTATGAGATGCTTCTTGATATCTCTGTGTCCCCTTAACTTGGTTGAGAGACCTCTATTTATAGTTGTAGTAAGAGGTGGAGGTTGAGATCATGTACACCACTCTACTTGCCTAGCAAGACGTACAGTCATATTAGGACTGTGCCAGTTAAATATTATCTCTTCATTAATAAAGAGACAAGTAATTTTTCGATTGGCCAGACTTGTGGGGACACGTGACGTGGCGCCATTTTACTGGCCAGGCCATTGCAGTATATAAGAGATATACTTGGATTAAACGATTCTAAATATTATCCCTTTAATAAGAAATAAATATTTAGATGTTTATCCAATAAATACATGATATGATATGATTTGGTTGGTGGATATACCTCTGCAATTTGAATTGATTTGGAACACCTCACCCTGACACGTGGCAAAATATAATTGGCTGCTTAATAACCAAATTTTCCAAGTGTACATGACATATGACAATATTCGATTGGACAAAAATATTTAATAGACCAATGGTAATTTTTAGAATTTAATTAAAATTCCATTGTCTACAACTAGTACTAGACTAAGAAAAGTTAATTGAGAAATTAGATGTGAGTGAGTTAAAATTAAGCGTATACCGTGCGTGCGTCAAAAGTTTTTCGAAAGACGCGCTAGTACAAATTAATTGGAGATTTGAGGAATTAATACTAGACTCATGTGAGGACTCATGTTTTTATTTCTAAAATAGTTATTTTCATGATTTATTATCTTAGTATTGGTTAGTTATACTATCGTTACAAGAATTTCTTAGAAATTGCACTTTATCGCGCACAAATTGGAAGTAAGCGTTTTCGCGCGAGCGATTAATTGAGAGATTTAACACCTTTATTTTGGGGCTATTAAGAATGAATAATAATAGTATTAATGGAAGTGCATTAGAGGTTTAATGCACTAGTGAAACAAACTCGGGAGGAATCGAGTATGAAACGCGCGCGTGCGCGCGCGGAGGGAGGGTTGACTTTTGAACACTTTTGAACCACACATTTAACCTTCTCAAGGAAGCTTCATTTTCAGCAGACACACTCTTTCTCTTCACTCATAGCAGCCGGCCATCCAAGAGGAGGAAGAAGGAACCAAAGCTCTTCACTTTCTTACTTCATTTCTTCATCAAATCACTCAAAAATTTACACACAACTTGCAAACCACTTGGAGATCAATTTAAGCTAGGAAAGGAGCTTGTTTTTCACAGTTTCTTGGGCTTAAGGTGACCAAAAATTTCTGCTCTAGCCATCTAAGGAGGTAAATGATGATCAACCTCTTGAATCTTGGTTTATATAAGTTGTATTGCACTTGTGAGCTCATAGATTTATATGGGTAGCTTTATATTGTTGGAAATCTTGTGAGTGGACTCTATGAAATTCCACAATGGCTTGATGAACTGATTTGATGAGATTTGATGTTATTTATGTTGTATTAGTGCTTAATCTAGTGAAAGTAAGTTGTGTTGTGAAAGAAAACTCAAAGGAAGTGAGATGAGCAAAAATGACGATTTTGCCCCTGTTTTACCATGACCATTAGTGCACTTTTTTGTTGTTCAATTGACTTAATTTTTTATGTAAATATGTTGTGTGGGTTGTGTGGAAAGTTTCCACAAAAAATCATCCAATTTGGTTGGCCAAAAGTTGAGATTTCGAAAATGTAGCAAAACTGGAAACGTAACCAGAGCCTCTCTGGCAGTGATTTTATTTTGGCCATAACTCTTTGCTCCGACGTCGAAATCAAGTGCCGTTTGCGGAATTAGAAACTAGACACTTCCAGTTTTCCAATAGCATAAAATGTATGCCCTGATTCTACCTGAATGAGTCGTACCAACTTTGTAAAATTACCTGTTCTGTTTTTCATCTGTACTGGAAGCCCTATTTTGAGCTACGACTTGATGCTCAAATATGAGTTAGTTGTGGATAGAATTTTAAAATGATTCCTCTAATAAATTGTAGCCTTATGAATGTAGTTTTCAACGCCACCGACCACGCTCAATTCTGAGTTGAATTGAGTAAGTTGTGGCCGAATTTCAGAGCTATCTTTGTGAAAGAAAACTCTAATT